GATAGCTAGCTAGATAGATAGATAGATAGATAGATAGATAGATAGATAGATAGATAGATAGATAGATAGATAGATAGATAGATAAGAGGAAGAGATAGAGAGGCTTGTATATATGAGAGAGAGAGAGAGAGAGAGAGAGAGAGAGAGAGAGAGAGAGAGAGAGAGAGAGAGAGAGATTTAAATTGATGGGGGAAATTCCTCTATAACCAGAAAAAGAGCCTATTTTAATCTAATAAAATGCATTCATGTGGACTACAAAAGTTCTTGGAAATCGTGTTTTTAATATACCTGCGAGGATCCAAATCTGGGTGTTGTTTTTTTTTTATATTTCTTTGGTTAATGCACTGCCATAAAATAACTGCCTTTGTCTTTATTTTCCTCCTTTTTTTCAGATGAAACACCCAGGGGTGGAAAAATGTGCCACTGGGAATGATGGGAGTTGTAGTCCAGCTTGCCTAGAGAGCACCACAGAGGACAAGGGTGAAGAGGAAAGCCGATACATGATGGCATGTTAGCACTACCCCTGGCCAGAGAGTGGTATTACAGTTGTCCACTTCGGAGGAGTCATGTGACACTCCAGTCATCAACCAACGTCCCTGTAAGGTGCAGATCCTTAAAAGAGACAGCCGTCTGAGCCGAGTTCGAATTACAGATAGTCCTTGACTTAGGACCACGATTGGGAACCAATTGTTAAGTGGGTCATCCTATGACTGCAGTCGATTTTACCGCCTTTATTGCCAAGGCCGGTAAATGAATCACATCGTCCTTAAGAAAACACCACCCTTCTCCATTGCATGCTTGCTGACTCTGGGATACGACAACAAATACAGCAAATTGCAATCCGGTGACCACAGGGATGCTGTGACGGTCGTAAGTACGAGGACCCATCATACGTTCTCTTTTTTCAGGTCCACTGTAAGTTCGAACAGTTGCTAACCGATTGGTCGTAAGCCGAGGGCTTCTTGTAGTCAACAGGGAGCGCCAGAGATGTTTCCGTCAAGCGCTCCATATTTGAAGGAAGACTTTTGGGGTTACCCCTATCAATGGGGTGGCCACTGTTTTGGGGCACCCCATCACTGCCACTGGGGTCCCCGATTGCAAAAGGACAGGCTCCAGTTCGCAGTGGACACCCCCGGTGAGCCTTTAAAGGAGATGGTAGAAGTTGGTTGATGGGTAGAAGGTTCAAAGGAGAAAGGAAAGGATGCTCACCATTGATACACCATCTCCTGCTGATGAGACTCATGTCAGGAGACCATCAGATCTGAGAGGACTTAAGACAGTTTGGGGTGCAGTGTTGGGAAAAAGAGCACCCCAACTTCCCTGTCCGGAGAAGACTAACCGGGACCTTCCATGTCTTGAAGCTTCCAACCTTCGCTCGGTCTACCTGGCCAGCATCCAAGATGGAGGGTGCTGAGACGATGCTGAGAACCCATCTCTACTCCACCTGTTGTCAAAGGAAGCCACGGGAAGGATGTCCTCTTTCCTCCCAGGTGAGCCAAAAACCTAGAGGACATCTCCTAGAGGTTGGTAGGGGTGGGATTTCCTCTGTGGTTCTCCTAGAAATGAACAGGTGAGGAAACCATGGAAATAGAAGGTCTCCTTAAGGGGTCTTCCTACCTCCAAAAAAAGTAAAAGCTTTGGAGCCACCAATGACTGATCTTCTAGAGAAGGGAAACTCCTCTGGTTCTGCTGAGCTTCTGAGGATGCTCCACTGCACCCCTAAGAAATCTACAACATCTCCCATGCTCCCCTCCTCTCCCTTCCCCGATTTAATTGGTTTGATGACAAATGATCCTTGGCTCAAAGGTTTGAACATATGTATTTTCATCCCTTGCAACCCTACGGAAGACTTTGTGCAAGTCTTTAACCCAACTAATTTTACATCGTGGGGGGGGGGAATCTGGTACCCTGGAAGACGGTTCCCATGGCTACCGTCCTGGTTATGGAGCCTGGAATGGTCATGCCCCTTCCTGGAGGAAACGAAATCAGGTTTCCAACAGAAGTGGGTTTGTTGACTTGACTAGTTTCCGGCCTTTGAGCGGGAGAGGACTGTGTTGTGGTGGAGAAGAAAGAGACCTGTCCTCAGTGCGTGTCTTTCATCCCATCCATACTTGGAGGACTCTTGGAATTGGTTGAGTTGGGCAAACTCAACTTCTGAGAGACTTTGCATGATTCGTTTGACGGTGTGAACCCAGAAGTGGAAGGGCTGATGTAGGCTCTCGGATAAAATTCATTGCCTGAAGGCAAGCCCACCCCCACTTAAGTGAGCCTCCCCCAAGGAGATGGGTTGGAGCTGAAGATACCATCTTACAGTTGATGTTCTCCAACTTTCCAAACTTCAGATAAATAGGCACAAGATTGCAGGGGTGGGCTTCTCACTGTTTAAACTTAGAAGAAGGGGGGGGAGAAAGAAACTCGGGCCCCTCCAGACCCCTGCCTCCTCTGGGGGGGGAGGGGTTTGGCCCTTTTGAAGCACCCCAGATCTTTCTTTAGAAGGTTGCACCCCCTCCGCACCTTTTCCCCCCTCCTCAATTCTGGAAGGGAGAGGAAATTGAGGAGCATCCCAGCAGCCCTAGCCCCCCCCCCAGACACACACACACACACACACTCGGTGAAATCCTGAGGCCCCCCCCAGCTCTAAAGACTACCCCCTCCCCTTTCCATTCTTTAACCGATTCTCCCAAATGGTGTCATAACAATATAGGGTCTGGATAGGGGGCTATTTTCTCTCTCTCTCTCTCTTGCAGGTAGAAAAATGTGTGGCTTGGTCAGACTTGGGGAGGGCAAGGGGGGGGCTGATCTTGTAGGTTGGGTTGTTTGAAAGATGGGTCGTGTGGTTGTGCGTGCCAGGAATTCCCTCGTGTTGTGTGCAGTCTCCTGCAACATAGCTATCCCAAAATCGGACGTATTGTCTGAGGCTTGCTTTCACTGCAGGGGGAATTTGTGTCTTACGGAGTGGGGGGGGGGGGTTGCGACTGCAGCTCCCATCCTCCTGCTCCACCCGGGCAGCAGGGGCTGATGGGAACGGGAGTGGAGTGCAGAAGGCAGAAGCTCAGCCCCTCTTTTCTATGGAGAAAGAATCTTGAGTTCCAATCCAATTTCTGGAAAATGGGAAGTGGAGGGGGGGAACGATTCTTGCTGGGACCGCTGCAGCCGGTGGGGGCAAGAGTTGCTGTAGCTTTTCAAGAATCAAGTCTGGGCTATGCGGGCTGGGGAACATGGGGCCGAGGGTCGTCCCCAAAGCGGAAAAGCTGTCAGACCCCCGGGGGGGGGCTCTTCTGCTGCCCTCACCTTCCTCACTTGCTCTGTTCACCTTTCCTTCCTGCCTTAAAAGCCTCTAGTCCTCTTTTTCCAAATATATTTGCCGGGGAGGGGGGGGTCGGAATCCCCACCCACCCACCCTGGTTTTCTTAGGAAGGCACCACATTTTTGAGGCGGTGGGCGCCACGTTTGGAAACCTGTAGCAGCCAAGGCAAAAGGCGGCGTGTTGTTTTTTTAATTAAAAAAACCACATTTTTTAAAAAAAATCCTCCTGCAGCCTCTTCTCCTCCGCTCTCCCAAGGCCCTTTTGGGTTTTTTAGGGAGATCCATCCTGGGAATTGTCCGGGCCAAGAGGGGCCACCGAGGACCCCCCCATTGGGGTTCCTTCGTTTCCTCTCCCCCCATCACCAAGAAGGGGTCGGGGCCAGGTTGAAACGGAGGGGTAGGGGGCGAGGGTGGGGTGGGGGGCGAGTGTCCAGAAAGGCTGACCCCCGTTTCTCCCCTCGGCAGACGGGAGGGGGGGTGCAGAGAGCTGAGCGCACCTCGCCCCCCCCTTCCCCGGAGTTCTGCGCTGCGCTGGATGGGCGCAAGCGGGGCTAGGCGGGGGGCGCCGGGGGCGGCATCCCCCCCTCCCCGACCGCTCCCCAGGTGCCTCTGGTCCTCTTCCTTTGGGGAGGAAGGGGTCTTGCCCCACCAGGAGGAGACTGCGGGGAGACGGCCTCCCCCCTCATGGAACCGAGCTCTTAGGGGTCCCGCCGTCCCAGGCCGTGGGGCTTCCCCGGGGAAGGGAACCTGTCGCAGGTGGGCTTTAATCAGCCAGACACCCCCCCAAAGCCCCAGCGACCCCTAAGGCTGCGCGCCACACACACACACACACACACACCCCTCGGAGGCGTCCAGTTGCAGACCCCATCCTCCCCAGCTGATCTTTGAGCTGCGGATGATGGGTGCCTCGACCTCTTCCTGATTTCCCCCCGAGCTTTGAGGGAGGGGCGGGGGGCTGGTGGTGGTGGGGAGGGGCAGGGGGCAAGGCGCCCCTCAACTAGGAGAAGCTCGGGGCGGCTGCGGGGATAACGGGGAGACCCCCGCCGGGTCTCTAGGCGAGATCGCAGAGGAAGGCGCAAACGGGGGGCGCGGGGGGGGGTGTCCCTCCTAGCCCGCCCCCTCCCCCCTCGGCCTCCTGGCTGCCCTCTCCCTGCCTTTCAGCTCANGGGGGGGGGAAGGAGAGGCAGGCACCGGACGCCCAGCCTGGCAGCCTGGCAGACTCCTTCACGCCCCAGCCTGGCCGAAAGTTGCCTGCCGTTGCTCCTCTTCCGACCGCGCTCTTTCCAGCAGCCCCCACCCTCCCACCCCACCCGCCTCCCGCCCCCAAAGGAGCACAAAATCAAAGGGAGCCGAGCCGGGGAGCCCTTTCGGGAGAGATTCCGGCGGCGGCAGCGGCGTGTGCGCCCCCTTCTCTGCCCGGGTGCGCGCCCGGTGCCAGCTGCTGCATTGGGGCGCCTCCTCTGCGCCCCCCCCCATATTAAGGAAAGCCGCCCGTCCGCCCGTGCTGGCGCTGCCCCCGGAGAGGCTCGGGGAGGGTCGCTGCGCCCCCAGCCCCGCCGCCCGCCTCGCCTCGCCTCGCCTGGCCGCCTCGAGGGGGGCTCAGACTCCGGCGCTGCCTTCGCCTCCTCCTCCTCCTCCTCCTCTTCCTCCTCCTCCTCCTCCTCCTTCTCTCCGCCGCAGCCTTGGACTGGAGCATGGCCGCCCTGCCCGGGACCGTCCCGAGGATGATGCGCCCAGCGCCCGGGCAGAATTACCCCCGCACCGGATTCCCCCTGGAAGGTACGTGGGGAGAAGCCCCAAACGCGCGCCCGGGAAACCGGAGAAGGCAACGGCCGCCGCTCGCTCCCTTCCTCCCAAGTTTTAGCCTCCGCGGCCGGCCTCTGGCCCCGAAAAAAGGCCGCTTTTGCCTTCTCCCCCCTTCGGCGAGGGAGGGGCGCCGCCTCCTTTGCCCCCCACCTTCCCCTGTCCCGGGGAAGGAAAAGTCGGAGGTGCAAGAAAGAAACGACGGAAAAAAAAACCTCCCCAAAAAAGTTTAGCGCGCCCTTCGGAATTCCCAGCGGACGCCGGAGAAGATGGAAGCAGCAGCAGCAGCCGCGGGAAAGCCGGGGACGCTGCTTCGGGGAGAGTCGGTGGGCTATCTCCGGGCAGCCTGGGCGGGGAGAACGGGGTCTTTCCAGCCGGGGCCTGGAGGAGGGCGAGGGGGGCAGCTTTGGCTTCTGGACCCCCTCCCAAAGCACACTTTCCTGCCCATAAAATACGCGCGGAGCCCCTGTGTAAATCCCGGAGGTTGAGAACGGAGGAGAGGCTTTGAAAAGTCTCGTTTCTGCTGGGGGGTTTGGGGGTTTTTTTGGAGGGGGGGTGGACGGGCAGAAGAGTTCGGTTGCTGCTCATCTGCCCTCAACCCAATCGGACGAACCTTTTCACCACCCTGTTTATTAAGAATTATTTGCACTGTTGTGTCGATTGCTGGAGAACGGCGCGTGGGGTTTTTTTTTCCAAAACTCTTGCCATTTTTCCTCGCTCGGTTTTGGGGGGTTTTTTTCCCCCCTTCCTCTCTTCCCCTTTCGCCCGAAAAAAAAGATCTGGAAAGAGGGAATATTCATTTCTCGGAAGGCGACTTTCCCGTCCTCAAACACCACCACCCCCCCGACCGTTTCTTGGCCGCTCCTCTGCAGGCGCCGGCTGCGGAATTAAAACAAACTCGGGGGTCCCTTTCTGCATTTATTAAAGCAAATTGGGCGCCTGGAAAGCGTGCTCAAGTGGAGCCTGGAAAGGGGGCGGAAGGAGGGGAGCCCACGCCGGCTGCGAAAACACACACGCGGCGGGGATTGGCGTGGAGTGGCTCTTCTGTGTAGCGAATGGAAGGGAAACAGTCCGGGAAAAGAAAGGGGGATCAAAGGATTACCAAAATATTTGTACATCGTGATGGAGAATAATGATCGCGCGTCGCCGGCAGCGGCTGATGGTCCACTCCAGGCTTAGCCGTGGCTAATGAGGCATCACTCCGAGTGACTTCGAATTAGGGGCGCGTGATTCTTGATTAAACAGCCAGGCGAGGTCTGGAACCGACTTAGTGTGCGGGGGAACCACGTCGCAGGGGCAGAGGGGACAAACAAACAAACACGCACACGCACGCACACACTTAACACAAACCGCCACTTTTATTGCGCGGCTGGATCTGGACCAGCCGCGCGGAGAAAATGGCAACGAATTTTACGCGTAGCCTCCTGATTAATCGGGCGGACTGGGTCTCTCCAAGGGGTGAGGAATCCACGCGTGTCTCCTGGGTGGAAAAACGGGGATCAGTTTAAACCCCGAAAGAGGAATAGCGTCCCTCTGTCCTTTAAAAACACAGACAGAAAAGTTGGGCAGTTTTTAAATTTATTTTAACTGGCCACCGATGGTGTGGCCATCCGTTTTATTATTTTATTTTTATTTTTTATTTTAAAAGAAAACGTTAATAAGAAAGTGAGGCCGTTAGGAAAATCTTGTTTGAAAGTTAAAGGAAATCTTGTTTTAAATCGGAACAAGCGGCCGACAAAGAAAATGAGACGCCTTTCCTACTTTCTATCTGTGCCCAAAGTAGAAAAATTCGGGAAGGTTTTTTTTTTTAGGGTGCTGTGTGGGAAGAAGATTCTTTCAAATTTTTAAGGGGAAAAAAAATGTGTTTGAGGGATTGAGGGAAGCTTTGTCTTTTGTGTTTAGGATGTCAAACGTCTCCACTGAAAGCAAACCAGGTGTTAGTAAAACATCAACCAGATGTAAACGCTGGGTGCACAGCTGGAAAAAACACTGAGGAAAACCATTATAAACCTTTACATTTAGGTTAAAAGTGGAGAGGGAGATCCAATCTGGGTGGGTCACCGGGACCGGAGATGGCCGCACACTTTGGGGGATCCTCAGGGGATCCTCAGAGACGGCAATAAACGACCCTAGGCTCAACCATTTTTCTTAAATAAACCACACTTGGTTGAATTTGTCTCACGCCCAGGATTGACACCAAAGTAACCAGGGTAGTGGAGGGACTAAGGAAAAGGCAGTTTTACACACATCAATTAAACTAGGTAGTGTAAGTATACACTCTGGTTTATTTAAGAGTAAGCATCTTGGGCATAACAGCATTCAGGCGATATGATGGCACAGTCCACCAGATGTTTAGACTGGATTCAGTATTTTTGTCCACCTACTGAGACCTTCCCAAGGATCTTTAATATTATTATTGTTATTGTTATTACTGTGATTATTACTGTTGTTATCACGATAATAGCCACGATAATGCTGAAAAGCTGGTTGTGGCAGAAAGTTTTCACAATTTCCTTTTTTAGTTGTGAAGTGGGCATTTTAATTTTCTCAAAGAGAGGGTAACTTCGTTTCATTGC